TGGAGGTCTAAACAGGAACAAATAGACTAATCCAGGTGCCATTTTGTCTAGGACATAAATTTTATATACTGTTTGTGATATTGAATAATTTAGACATATCTAGACATGAAATTTGAAACATCAAATCAAAAATCAAATAAACTCTTTGATAGAAAAGAAATCTCCAAATTTCAAAATATTAATCATCTAATAAAAAACCTAAAACCTCCAATCATGGATGGAGGTTTTTCTTCAAACCTCCATCTTGGATAGAGGTCTAAACAGGAATAGATGGACTAGTCCAAGTGCCATCTTCACCAAGACATAAATTTCATATACTGTTTGTGATATTGAATAATTTAGACATATGTAGACATTAAATTTTGAAACATCAAATAAAAAATCAAATAAACTCTTTGATAGAAAAGAAATCTCCAAACTTCAAATCATTAATCATCTGATACAAAATCTAAATAAACAAAAGCTGGCAGCATGGAGCTCCTGCTCCTGCTGGATGAGCTTTGCTTTGCTGCATTTATTTTGAGTCAAATTTATCATTTTAAAATCTAGACTTCTCGGCCAATTCAAATCAAACTAAAGTATTAAATTCTCCAAAATTCCACCAATTCACAAAAAAGAAAAAAAAATCCACAAAACAAAAAGATAAATAAAAAGAAACTTACATAAACCAACAATTTACAACTCAATTTCGATTTGATTTCAAGGAAGAAGAAGAAGGAACCTCATGTTTACAAAAGCTTGCAATGCTAGTTTCAATTTTAAAAAAATGTATTAGATGTATACAATCTATTTTATTTTAGATTATATTTTTTTAAAAAAGAACAAAAATACCTAAAATGCAAATCGATATCCAAGGAATTGGTGAACATGTAATATTAGCACGTGCAATTGAGCAAATTATAATTCAGAATTTTTCGATTTCTGGAAAGAAAGGAGAGAAGATGAAGAAGAGTAGAGGAATGGTCGGTTGAGCGAAAAAATGGAGAAATAGTATGGCTACGTCTAGTTCGCCCAACACAATAAAAAATAAATAAAAGTACAGGACAATATATATTAACGACACGTATCCAGCCAAAGCCTTCTTTCTTTTATATATGTAGGATTATTTAATATTATTGGTGTTAAAATACTAATTTATGTAGCATATTGTAACTTTAAATGAGAACCTATAATAAAATGAATCGATTAAGTCTACATTTCATTGAGTCTAACACCAATGATGTCGTACATATTATTCCATGTTTTATCATTGCATTTAATATCTTGTATAGTAACTTTTATCTATTTCTCACTTATCAACAGCCTCTATTTAGATTCTATTATCAATGATAATTATTATCAATTTAAGTGACAGCTATGATACAATAAGAGCATGTTTGGGAGAATTTTTTTTTTTTTTTTTTTTAAGAAAAATATTTTTCTACAAACTATTTTTCAATCTCCAAAAAAATCATTTTCATGTAGTCCAATAAATTTTTTCTACTTTCTAACTACATCTTCTAAAAGAAAAAATATAAAGAAAAAAATATTTTTTCTCCAAGAAAAATCTCTCGCAAACAATGCTTTAATGCATCACAAATTTATTAAAAAATGAATTATGATCAGAGTGATGATCATCATCATTAACATTACTCATTTAAATTACATTACTCTTGATATAATTGATATTACCAAAATAATTACTTAAAAAGAAGTTTGTGATTACTTTCATATTCCATTAAGCACACCACTAATTGATTTGCAAATATTATGTGAGCAAGGTGAAGAAAAACCCAATGCGAAAAAATCATACATACCCGTTAAAATAAAAATAATTCATTACAAACTAAAAAAAGGATTTATATTCTTTATATACTGACTATCCTATTAAAAAACACAAATAACACTGTGGCCAAAACTTTTGATTCTATAATTGAAATATGAGAAACCTTACATCACACTGGCATTAAATAATACTGCGATGAATGGAGATTTCGACTTCAATTTGTTTTGTGTCCAAATAAATGTGTAGTTTGCAATTACGTACACCGTTCTCAGCAAGTAAAAATTTATTATTATTTTTTTTTATATCAAAATCGACATCATTAGGTTTTTAATCTTCCTCCTCCAACTTATTTACAAATTTTTGAAATTTTTTTGTTGATAATCAACCATAAGAACTTTTGATTGGTCGAATTCATGAAATGTCAAAGCTGTAAATTTTTTATGAATAATAGTTCCTTTCAATTTTGTGTGAGACTATATATAATGTCTTGTACCCAATCATTGCATCTGATATGAAAAATTGTGGTCTTTAATATGTTCATCTACTTGAATGGATTAATGTGAATTGTAAGTTTGTTGGGTCACCTATTTAGACTTACTCTGCTATATGGAACTTCCTTCTATATTCCGTGATTATGAAATTGTGTGAATCTATATATAACTGAGTTTGTTACGATGGATGAATTGGCTTACGGATTAGTCGAACTAACATATCTCGTATTTCGCACATTCCATCACAATTTCAGTGTGACATATTTGTGATGATGTTGTTTTGTGGGGTTGCAGGTTTGAATTCGTGAACGTGTTCATAATATGCAATATAGACTCATGTCTGTTCGTTGCAAGTTTGTGGATCTTGTTACGATGATATCAGCTGAATTAAGGATAGATATGAGGATGATCTGTCCAAAAATAGAGAATGATGTAGGTGAGAAAATGGACCCAATTACATGAAATAATAACTTCCTACTATTCTACATGAAGCCAAAGAGGAAGGACGCATTACAACATATGCAATATGTATAGCAAGTGAAGTGACAAGTGCGAGGTGACATTTATGCTCAACAATCTACCTTGAATAATCTTACAGTGCATGGAAATATCGAACTTTTCTTACGGAGATGATGTTTATTGTTGACAGTGATATCATTCTCCCATAGACATGTTCTCTAAGATTATTTTACCAAACAAATGACTCAAATGGAGCATCAAAAGTGTGGAGCACTTTCTCATGGAGTATTTACCAAAGTCCCAATAGATTTTAAAATATTTGAGAGAGGCTATTATTTAATAACAGATTTTCTATTGTAGGAACTAAGCCTCACTGAAATGCAGGAAAAAAGATAGTATAAGTAGAAAGTTACAACAGGACGTTACTCAGTTCAACAGCCATTTGATATTGTTGAAATTTTAGAAAAAAGTAAAAAGCACTTACTGTAAAAGTAGACAAGAAATAAAACCTAAAAGAACCTCCGCATTCTTAGTGTAAAAACACCATATCTGGTATTTTTAGCAAGACCAATTTCAAAGATTTATGGAACTAATTGACTTAGAAAATTAGAGGCCTAGTCTTATTAATGTCTTATTCCATTTTATCATTGCAATTTTATAAATTTTAGACTGTAGAACTTGTTATAATACATGTTATTATACACAAATTGGAATAAGCATTGACTTGAATAAATTCATGTGAAAAAAATATATATATCAAACGTTATATATACTATAAGACTCATCATTGTAAATTCATTTACGGTGAATTTATGGTGAAATTTTCTTGGATTTTAGAAACAAATATAAAAACTAGTAAAATCTTAGGGTTTTAGTATATGCAAAGAAGAATTTAGGCAAGATTGTATGATGAGAGGGAGCAATTATCAACTTGAATGGAGGAAGTATGGAAATAGATAAATTTCAGGATTTGAAAAAGGAATGAAGACTTGGGGTAAGATTGAGTGATTTTGTGCATGAATAATGTGATTTTATTATGTGTGGTGATAAATAATTTATCATTTATAGTTTTTTATTACAGTATTTGTAGAATATAAAAAGTGTAAAGGTAAAAGTGGGAAAAACATTTTATAAAATGGGTACCTGGTGAAATTTGCACAAACCCAATAATCCATCAGGACGGCCAGTCGAGTCATTTTCTAAACAGGGCCTAGGTTTTCTTAAATTTTATTCTTTCCAAATTTTTTATTATTATTTAATTCAAATTAATTAAAATATATGAGGTAGTGTGATGCTCTACCGCCCATACAATTAATTATAGTTTTATTCATAAGCCTCTTTCATAATCCCAGAAATTAAACTGTTTAATTTCCTAACATATAATATTAGATTTGTGGTCGGACAGTGAGATTGTGTCCCGTTTTTTTACTTTATTTATTATTCTTATTTTTGTTTTATTTATGTGTTTTAGTATTTCATTTTCATTTTCGTATGAAAGAGAGATTTTTCTAAGTGGCGGGGCCATGCCGAGTTTGGCATTATTACAAGAAACTTGTGGGAATGATAGCCTCTTCCTTGTTAGTAGATATTATCAACAATTTAAATGACAATAATTCCCTAATTCATTGTCCAATGTATCGCAAATCCATTAGATAATGAAATTGACACTATTACAAGAAGCTCATGTGAGTAATGCTATTCATTATTAATAAAGATGATCAGTGATATGGTAGTAAAGCATCTCATATCCTCTGATTCATTGTCCAATGCATCACAATTCTATCAGATTATAAATTATGGAGTCCTGTGTCAACTAAAATTGTGATAATATCTACTAATGATGAATAATATTATTCAATTAGCATAGAAAATAGTTGTATACATATATGACTAGTCCAGCACGTTCTAACGATACAATTTAAATTCAAACATTTAAATGAACTGTTCCAAACCTCTTTATATCAATCTATTCTGGTTCAATCAAATAGGTCAACACCCTAAGTCCACTCACCACAACCCACACGGAAAGATTACTCTTTCTTATATGATGCTATTTTGGTCGCATGCACGCACTTCACACGAAACACACTCCTTGCGGCTTGCGGCTTGCGACTTGCGTCATGTAATAGAACAATCAACAAGGGTACAACTCAACATAGAAATTGGCTCTTTAGATGTCACATCTGAGCCCCTTCCAGATGTGTGCCTTAGCATAAATCTTATTCAATAATCTCTCTCTTAGAAATGTCGTTAATGGTTTTCTTTGACAAAGGCAATACCCCACCCCACGCCCACCTCACCCCCCAATCACTCACTTTCAGCATTCTATTTCTATATACAAGTGTAGTATAGCATAATTTCTGAGCAGTTTCTTTACATTTCTTAATTCCTAATCACTTCCTTCCTCTGAACCAATCTGAAATGGCCAAGGTGCAATCCTTCTCTTTCTCCGCTTATATTTTTAATATTTGTGCTCTTGTTTCACACATCTATGTGATGTATCTTGGAAATTTACATGTGCATATCGTCTTGATAATTTGATTAATTTGATTCTTGAGTGTCAATTTCATGTTGATCTTCTTCATCACTCATCACAGACAAACTAATATGGAATAAAACTGAAGAATTCAATGAACGAGATTTTTGCTTTCGTTTATACACATATATAAATTTCATCTCTTGTGGGATGAGCTTGATTTTCAGTTTCCTCTTCGGCTTTTGTCCATGAATTCTATAAAATTTTCGAGGCTCTAATTGCAGTATGGATTTTCAAAGAGCTATACAAGATTTTGTGGGCCTTTTCATACAGCACTACTCTTTTTCGCTTTAATTATTGTCCTTTAAACTTTTTGTCCAACAGTTTACGGGATTTATAGCGGATTTTTCCATCTGAATTACGAAAGAAAAAATAAATAGAATCAGGGTTTTGTGCTTATTGTCCTCTGATTATAAATTTTTCATATTTCAATGACTTTTTTCTTATTTTGCTGCAGAAACTAGTCTTAAAACTAGAAATAAATGATGACAAAGATAAACAGAAGGCCATGAAAGCAGTTTCAAGCCTTTCAGGTACTAAATTTCGGACGCTCATCAGACAAGAAGGGGTTAAAATTTTATCCATCATACTGTGAGGGAGTCGAGTGATCATTCATATAGGGATTGAATCTTGTCTGCTAATTTGTTTGTTTTGATATAGGGATTGAATCTCTGGCTATAGACAAGAAGGAGAGGAAATTAACAGTAGTTGGGGATGTTGATCCAGTTGAAGTTGTGGGGAAATTGAGAAAATCATGGCACACAGAAATACTAACAGTTGGTCCAGCGAAAGAACCTGAAAAGAAAAAAGAGGATGATAAAAATAAGGACGAGAAAGAACGAATTGCAGAACTTGCCGAGCTCTACAAGAATTACAATCCTTATTATACACAATACTACCAAGTTTACAGTGCAGAGGAGAATCCAAATGCTTGTGTTATTTCTTAATTAGTTTTCATGATTTTCTTTCGTTTGCAACAACTCTTGAAGAGAAGGGAACACTGCGTTATATATATTATGTACATACAGGATACATATAGCATAAAGTTTGGGTCTTTCTGGGAAATATATCTATAATATTTTGGAATCTTTTAGTATTCTAAGTTCTCTATCTCATTAAAAATGCTTTTAAAAAAAGTTGACATACGACATCTTTCTGCGAGAAATCTTATATAAGAAGTATAAGTAAAAATAGAAGTTCCATCAAATAAATCCTTAATTAATAGATGAATTCTGGAATTCTTGGTTGTTCTTTGTATAAATTAGAACAATAAACAATTAAATTGTTCTTGGCATAAATGAGACCAATTAAATCTTGAGTAAGATGTATATAGCATTAGACATTATAGTGTTGTTTTCTAGTTTGCACCACTAGAAGTGCTAGCATTTGAAAACTGCCGCTATTTCTAGTAAAAATGGAAATTTTATTTAATTCAAAACAAATTGTTGAATGTCATTCTTCACCAAATATTGACACATCACTAAGCTCGACTTCTAATCTTACTTGACAAGTTTGACATGAGAGTCATCTAAGTGTCATTTAGCAGTCAAGAATAAATCGACTCAAAAACTTTAATCTTTCGATTCACGAAAGGACATTTATAAAACTAGCATACCATTAGTTAACTACCAACGTTGAGTGAATTTGGTCGACCAATGAGGTAGCTAATTTGTTATTTGTTTCTTTCTTTATTAATTTTTCTCGTATCTATATTTTTGCTTAAATTCAAAGTCAATTCCATGTAAAGTTGATTTTCAAACATGGAACAATTCGATGAATAAGCCCACCTAATACAGGTAATATTTTATGTATACCACAGAAGGATCAGCATCAAAATATTATAATAAATCAATCAGTCCTGAAACCTCTTTAATTTGATATGATGACAGCCAATGGGCTCAAGGATGCATGTTTCTATACTGTCAAACAATAATTGAGAGAGTAATGCTACGTAGTTCTACTAAGGTTGCAATTCCAATTTAGATAGCATTAATATGGCATAAATTGATAGGTGAAATTAAACAACTCATTTAATTTCACATTTCATTTAATTTATCATCTAATGTCACCTGAATTGGAATTGCAATTCCAATGACTACATAGCATTACTCTAATTGAGAAGATGTATTTGGAATCGTGAAAATCTATTAGTTTATATATACACACTATAATAAAAATTGTCTTTCGCAATACGCAAAAAAGGTTGTGAAAGGCCTTGATCAACGATCGAATATGTGGCAGTAGAGTAAAAAGATAAGGCAACATTCAAAACTATTGCAATAGACATTTAAAAAATTATTGTCAAATTTCAATTATATTAATTAATGGCAACATACACTTATTAGAATGTTGTGATAGACTCTTTTAGCCATACTCAATTAACGCATATTACCTTTTGTATGTTGTAAAAGACAACTTTTGTTGAAGTGTCCCTAATTAATTAAATTTTTATCACATAACTACCTAGCTAACATTTTTATTTNGAGTACATGGTAACAAATTTGTATCTGGCTCCTAATATTTTAAGTGCTTTCTTTTCCTTTTCCATTTGTTTGGTTTGTGTTCTTTTTTTTTCTTTTTTTTTTTAAATAATTTTAAATGGAAGATCATGGTCTAATTGCTTATGAAGTTCTTGACCATTTATACGACTTTAAAAGGTAACTTGAATTCATTAATATAATAATTATATTAATAACTTTATATTGTATGCCATCAACATTTTCAGCAACGATAGCAACGTAAAATTTTGTTATTTATTTTTAAGAACATATTCGACTTCCTAAGAAAAGCTTGCCGATTGTAATTATAGATATAGAATACTAGGTCTTGTTTGGTAGATTAAAGGTTATAGGTATGATATTAAATATTGATTAGCTTTCGAGTTACACTTGCAATTTAGAGGTCTGCTCTTCTACAAAATGACTAATTTTATTTATGTCACTATCAATTTAGGTGACAGTGAACCCCTAATTTATTATTTTTGTGCATTAACAATTCCTTTAAATGTTGGATCAAGGTGCAATTGCCACCTAAATAGATGATAGATAACATCACCTCTATAGAATCCATACAGAGTATGGACATAATTATTAAGCACAATCAAAGTAAACAGACGTGTGAAAATTTTACATCTTATTAAATTGTATAAAATCTAATATCGTTAAAATTTGCTTGTAATAGTGAAGGCTTATACTAATTAATAAATATTCTGTAGTGTGTGTGTCTATATCATGTGTATGTTGGTCCAAGATGAACAATTTTGCGTCATCCCTTATGGCAATCCTCCGTGGATACCCAACTAATCTTTGTTTCTTCAATCAAATTATTCCTAATTTCTACGTCGTTCTTATTCTAAATAACTAATAATACATAAATAAATATAGGAAAAAACAAAAGGATTTACTCTTGATCCATTTGTCCAACTAGACTCTTTGTCCATAGCACGTTAAGGAAAAGATAATATTCTAACGAAGTTTTCGTCCTCGGTGTAGCGCTTCTCACCTATGCTGCCACACTACGTTCTTTATTTTCTCTTTCGACTGCCATTTTTATCTTAATATAATTTGATAGTTTGAAAAAGATATATATCGAGACTAAGTTTTAGTCGAGATACGATTTGAAGTGTCGATTAGAAAAGAGACTATTAGGATAGTGGTTTAGGAGATATGTGAGAGGGGAGCGGGGAGCGGCTAAACGAAAGGACTCTTTTCATTTTATTCGTATATGTAGTCTTCATTGGCTCTTCTAATCTTTAACTTCCTTCCACCATTTTAAATCTTCCAATTAGTTACCAGCAACTACCAATTTCTGTCGTAGATGATAAGTGTATTTTATACACTTATTCAGAACTTTAAAACGATCATATTTAGTTGCTTCTCGAATGAATTATGATTTAAATTATTTCATTTTGTGTTGAATAGGTAAAATTCAATGACGGTACAAGAAATTGAAGAAAAAAACAAAAGTGGGCAAAAATGGAGAAAATGGCTAAATCTTAAGAGATCCAAAGTTCGAGAACTAAAGTACAAATATTCAAAAATTGTGTCGATCTTCACGATGAAGATCCAAGAGCGTTAGGAGTCAATTGAATGAAGAAAGATGTCAAAGGGATCAAATTTAGGCAAAATATGATCACAAATCAATTTTCAACTGAAAAGTTATGCTCTGTAATTTTAGGCCCACATTGAGACCCATTTTTGACATAGGAAACGATTGAATTGGAGAATGATGTCTAAAGAAAAATTGTAGCCCTTTGAGTTGGCTTTCCAAAACATCTTGAATCGTTTCAATCGGATATCAAAAAAGAAAGTTATGATAAAAAAATTGAACAAGGTGTTGTCTGTCGGGAAAGTGACGCTGCAACGCCATCCCATTGATCATCGCGGCGCTGCGGCACCACATCCCAAACGCGTTAGGGCGCAATTCTAGCTCGTTTTTGAGTTCATAAGAAAACCATATTCTTCCCATAAGACAAGCGACCTATAAATACGAAAATTCTCACACTTTAAGGAGTTCTACACATTAAGGGGCAAGAAACACATCTTAAGAGAAAAATGGAGAGATTCAAAGGGAAAAAACGACGACGAATTGATCGCGTGAAGCATCAATTGGAAGATGAAGGAATGCTTGGTGCAAAATCTACTTTTTCTTCTACATATTTAATTCTAAATCCGGTGATATGCTCTAAGACAATTTGTTATTTCTCTTTCTTTATGCATAGCTAAATCCTTTGTTAGGGCAAACAATGTAACCTATTTGAGACCCTTTATTAATTTTATTTGAGATTCTTGTTCGTTATGAGTATATGTGTGTATTTTAATCATGTTCTTTATACTTTGAATTTTCTGGCCAATTATTTAATTATTTCTTGAACAATAATTGAATAGAGATGCGGATTCTTGTTTAGACTACATATTAAAATTTGATAAATTAATATAACGTGTAGAGATACATATATTAATTGATACGGTCCTATATGAATCCTTAGAACTATTATTTCGTTTAAATAATGTTGATTCGCATAGAGATATGAAATTGAATTATTTAAATAGGCTCAATGAATTCGACCGAACACTACTTTAGATTTTATAAATTTTGATATTAGAAGTAAAGGTGACCAACAGGTGAAGTTGTTCTACCCTAATACCCATTTATTATTTGAATTCTTACTTATTTTCTGTTGCACTCACAAACTTTTAAGTAGTTAGAATAAAAACCACTTTTAATCATTGTTCTCATTTATTTTCATCACATAGAAGATAGAAATAATGGATTGAGTATAAAAATATAGTTCTCGTGGAAACGATAATCGGACCTCAATATGTCCACTTTACTACTTGTTACGATCTGTCCACTAACGGGATAAAATTGACAACACTAGATACGACAATTTTAGAGACATTTACTATTCTAGAACAATGAAACAACAATTGGTCACATTACATTACTTAATAAGCCCAAAACTTAAATAATAGCAGCTTCCTTTACATGAAGAACAAAGGAATGCCAAAAAAAAAATGAGCAAATTTTAATAGATCCCATTTGATGCAACTTACATCCATCAAATGAGCAAAAACATGAATACTGCCTTAATTGGAAAGAATGAATGTTCCGTAAGTATGGTGTTAAAATCGTAAGTTGATCTATATGTATGTCACTGCATAAGCCTCATCTTCCACTTATTTGGTATAAAAATGTCGTGTAGAGCGCGATATTTTTGTTCAAGTCCTTGCTCGAACAAGGGGCGAAGTCATATGAGAGTGAGGAGACGACAACATTCGGGGAGTCATAATGAACTCATCCAATCTACGAAATGATAAACTGATTTCAAGTTCACTTCTCTTGTATTGTTTTCTCGTCATTGGCTGGTCTAATCCAGTTTTCTGAATCACGAATTTGTGGATCCTTTGAAGTGCAATTCTCATGGTTTCATCGTCCATGTTCGCAAAGCACACCCTGAACCAACCTGGCTCTGAGCAACGGAACGAGGCGCCTGGTGAAACATTAAGCTTAACTTCGTCGATAATTAAATGCCATAACTCCATTTCTGCTTCAAATGTTGGTTCTTTAAGGAGTCTCTTCAAGTCCATCCAGCAAAAGAGCCCCGCATTGCCTCCCAAACTTTTAATGCCTACTTTAGCAAGTCCCCGGGTGAATACACGGTGCCTTTCTGTTAATCTTTTGGCGCTCTCGTCTAAGAATTTTTCCACAAAAATATCGTCCGATAGCATTGAAGCAATCAGGTGTTGTGTCTGAGTGGAAACTAATCCGAAACTTGACATTTTTCGTGCACAGTTCACTACTGCATCGTTGTACGAGTATATAATGCCTACTCGGAATCCAGGAAATCCGAGGTCCTTTGACAGACTATAAACAATGTGAATGAGATCGCGATGTTTAGATACCGAGCTTTCTTCTGCTATTTCAGCAATGCTGATAAAACCGGGCTCGTCAAAAACCGTGGCGGAATATATCTCATCACAGATTAAGTGAATGTTTTTCTCACAGATGAAGCTCATTGCATCTCTCAATGTGGTTTTGTCCAGTACAGTGCCCAATGGATTTGATGGATTGTTTAGAATCAAGCCCTTAACTTTGATATTAGCCTCTTGAGCTTTTTCATATGCATCTTCCAAGGTTTCTCTAGTGATTTTGAACTCATTTGAGCTCTCGCAAACAACCGGGAAAAGTTGTATACCCGTTCGCCATCTCAAATCTCGATCATAACTGCAAGAAAGTGACTACTCATTTAGCTCAGCAAGAATTGAGTAATCATAGAATGAATTAAATAATAATAATAAATTTCATATACGACATATTAAACTTTTAATTAGTGAATCAATATTGAAGCTTGGCAGCTATACATTTATGAAAATATATGTGTAGAAGAGCTTTTGATAAAATAAAATTGAGTAATACTATTTGATCAGGGTCATTTGCAGAGACCTTGGCCCCTACAAGATAGAATCTGGTCAGGGTCTGTGCAAATTACCTTGCAAAATAGCATTTCTCAATAAAATTTAATATATATATTTGAACGCGGTCTATACATGAAAATGTGTCGAAGAATGATTAGCTGGCAGACATGGCTATCGAGAAAATTTGGTTTCTGTGATGAATATGGACAAGTTGAATTGAGAGGTTCTAATAGAAAGTACCTAATTTCTTTTCTATATTATAAGGAAATGATTATGCTACCATGACCCACTCCAATAATTCATAAGTCCCACAATAAAAATAAAAAAATAAAAAAAAATAATTTCTTGAGAAACCAATGAGATTCAAATGATGACAACTTTCATTTGGTGAAGTCGTAGAGATGCTTCTGCTCCGTCTTCTAAGTTTGTTTTTTATATGTCATATTATAATTTAAAAATAAAAGACAAGAAATAAGTAAATAAGAAAGTGAAATTTTACTTACCCTGGATAATATGGTGTAGGCACCAAAAATGCTTCGCCGGGATCCGCCAAGCAAAAGGCCAAAGTCTCATGAGCACCGGTGGCGCCGCCGCTCATTACAATGCGGTCAGGGTTGAATTTGACTTTATTTCCTCGCACTTTCTCCATGAATCTTGCAACAGACTGCAAATTCATATTTTCAAATTGTAAGACTTTTTTTGTTGAATTATACAGAAAGGTCAATAATTGATTTCTTTAAAGGACAGTACAGAATAAGCATAAAATAAGCAGTTACAGTTAGATTTATTTGAAGCTCTTACATTTCTGAATTCTGGCAAGCCATGATAATCTTGATAAATTGCTATATCGTTGAAGCCATTTGATCCTTGAGGTGTACAAATGGAGGCTTTTGGGTTGTTCTCAACCCATTCTTGGATTAAATCAAAGCAAAGCTGCACGAATAAGAAGAGACATTAGTTGGGTTTTGACTATACAATACTAGACGAGATTAAATAGTACCGTTCAATACTATGTACTAGACATGTTCGTACCTGATTTTCTGCCAGTCCCATTTGAATGACTCCATGAGAATTTTTTGTGGGATGATAAGGGTCACTGTCATATGCCTTCCAACCATCAAAAAAAGACGAGTTTTCGCCATGTCCATCGTTGGTTGCAATTTTGGATAATAGCACCATATTTTCAGTCAAAAACTCTTAAGGGATGAAAGGAAAAGAAAAATGTGAATAAACAATGAAGAAATTGTTGGTTAGTGAATAAGAATTGTTGAAATGTTTGAAGAGGTTTTTGAGTACAACGTCGTTCAAGTGTTCGATGTGTATTTATAGCTGTAGCGCTAACCCAAAAAAGTAAAAATAAAAATGAATTATGTTTGAAACATTGTAAATATTGGTAGGCGCTTTTTACTTAATTTTGCTTATCAGAAATTACGATTAAGTTATTTTGAATATAATTGATACAGATAAGTTTGTTTTTGTGAATATAGTAGGAACGTAAAGATCGTTTCAAAAATATAATCGAAGGGAGTATGGTATGACAATTTTTTTTTTTTTTGTTTTTGTTTTTTTTTATAATGCTCCAAGATTTGTTGTTAAAAGTGTATCGATGATGATTACACTAATAATGGCAAAACAATAAATTCTAAATCAGTCTCGAATCTCAAATTTTATGGACAATAGTAATTTGACATTTATAGTTGACTTAAAGTGTGTTGTCGCTAAATCGTACATCACTCTGCAATTTAGTGCATCCGTGTTGTTCCAACAATCCGTCCTCATACGACTGCCCTATTCTTACTCGAACTGGTAATAATTAATTTCAAATTTCAAATCAAATAAAGCAGGATCCATAATTGTCACCAAAGTAGTGCATTATTCTCCTACTATACGGCAGGTCCGTGTGGTGTGTCAAGTCCGTGTATTGTTACGAATCATTCTCAACATAAATAAGGTGGTCCCTTCGGAATAGCCACGGATTTTTGCAAGGTTGCCCCATTAATTTAGTCCCTGATTTTTAAATAATTATTTTAAATCAATTACAAGCAATTACCAGATTTTAGAAATGAATTCATTTTTTTATCACTAAAGATTTATTCCGTCACTAATACGTCAGTATTTCTTTTCTTGATAATTAATTTAAATCAATGACGTTTTTAATCAAATGTTTGCTGTGGATTTAATGGCTAGGAAGAGTAGAAAAAAATTATATAAATTTGTGAAAAATTTTAGCGAAAAGTGTTGTTCCTACACTAATTATTTTATCTTAAAAGCGTGAAAAATTAATCTAATGTGTCGGGTTTAATAACAAAATTTTTCTCCAAGATTTTTCTCTCTAAGATAAAAATTCCCGTTCAATTAAATTATGAAACAACAAGATTATGTTCAGTACTATCTAGGGTATAATAGTATAATAATATTATTTGCAGTCACTCACTACCGCAGTCACCCAACGTGACATGCATTTGGTGGTTAGTAATTTAATATATATGGTAAGAAAAAACTAGCATATTAATATATCAAATCACAAACCGTCATATAAAATGCCACGTGGGATGACTACCGCAGTGAACAAATATGAATAGCGTTACTCTTAATAGTATACATTTCAATATATATAATAAATACTGTTGGCATGACACGCACTAATTATGGTCCAATGTGGTTCCTTTTTTCCAATGATTTCATTTTCACAAATTTGAATGAAAATTGATTTGTTCCAATTCTCAATTCTGAATAAATTAATCTCGTGGAAAATTTTTACGATGTTTGTTCAAAATTTTTGAGTCAAAGCAGAAGACTTGTGTCCGCTAGAAATGTAGAAGCTATCGTGTGATAAATTGAGAATATGTTTTGTTTGGTTAATTTGCATTTCCGATTTCAAGTCAAACTAAAGGAATTCTGCCCAGGGAAAAAAAGGAAAAGTCCACCTTTTTACAGTCAACGGGAGAGACCAAATTTAATTTGAGAAGAAAAAGATACCATTTTGACTGCAAATATTTTGGTCAATTGTAATTTATTTTTATTTTTTTAAAATCTTAGTCAATATTATACATAAAAGAGCATATTTAACATACTCTCAAAAATTCACTATGGTCTCTGTTTTAAAGAGTTCTTGTTTATAAATAAATTCAAAGAAACTCTTTATTTTAATTTTTTTAAATAGATAGTGGATAAAGTCAGATTTCGATACTCTACTTCTTAAATTATTCTAATCATACTTGATTTGATTGATCATTTATACATGTAAAATTATGTTAAATAAAAGGTAAGGAGAAAACAATAAGGGTTAGTTTGATATGGAACATTTTCCATGGTTCCAACTTTTTGTAGTGTTTGATGTGTAAAATTTTCTAGGCAATTTCTTTTCCGTTTTCTACCTAACGTGATGCATTTTCCATGAAAACAACGAAAACCAACCCCTTTTTTTTTTTTAATTTTTGACAATGGAAACAAATTCTATAAATAATTGTAAAAGAAGATATCTCTTAAATTGACAATTTTCATATAAAATAAAACCAAACAAACACTAAAATATAGATGATTTTTAATTTTTTTTTTTTTTTTTTTTTTTTTGATAATGGATACAAATTCTAGGAATAATTGTAGAAGTGAATATCCCGTAAATTGATAATTTTCATAAAAAAAAACAAAGCGAAATAAACACCAAAAGACACTTGTATTTTAAAATTTTTCAGGTAAAAAGGTATACCAACAAAACACCATTAATTGGTAATTCCCACTAAAACAAACTCTAGGCAATTCAATTCCCTTTAATTCATTTTCTTTCTCCCCAATTTTCATCTTTACAATCAAACGGATCTTAGATATATCTTACAAAAAGTGAAATAGAGAGTCAAAATAAAGAGTTTTATCTAAATTTGAAGATTCTCCATATGTAAGCTTGAGCGTGGGTGGGTCAGTTCGGGTGTTTCAATACCCAGAACCACCCAATGTATTTCAAGTATTTTGTAAATGGAATCACTCTCGTCCTTGTAATTATGGAATCGAAGGCAAACTTGAATTGTCGGTTCTGTTTCGAGTTCGTTCTACTCGTAACATTTTTAAAAAATATTTAATAAATATTTTTCATATAGTCGCTTTCAATAATATTCCTAACTTGCCATTACTCGATAATATTTATGTGATAGAGAAAATTCAGCGAAGAAGTATTCAAGAGGCTAAAAAATAAGTTGCATGATTCAAAATGAAAAAATATATATTTCAAAAGAGAATTATGAACTCAAGATAACAAAAGATGTATACCACAATCTAAGTTATGAATATATCAAGTTAAATTGCCACACATTATAAAAAAGTTTTTAAAAAAAAATCACTTAAGTTTGTAAAATAAGGCAAAAAAATAAAATAAATAAAATATCCAAATTGCAAATACTAAACGATTTAATTCATCAACTTACACAATAACCCTAACTTAAACTTTTTGATTCATAGAAAACTCAAATTGCAAAGATTAAGATGTACTTCTGAGATGCAACAATTTGATATGGGGCGAGAGACCAAAAAGTAAAAGCTAGTCTTGATTAAAGTCTAGAGTTTTAGACAAATTACCATCTAAATAAGAATTTTTTTGGTTTTGTATGTTTCTATCAGCCCTAAAAATAAAATAAAAAAATTATATGAAAAAAGATTCAATTGGGATACCCAACGGTTCTGGTTCAAGAACCAAGAATCGATCCAAGTTCAGTCTACTCTTAGTTTCAATTTCTAATTTATTTTTTGTTGAAATTGGACCGAAACCTTCGATTTTGGTTCGATTTCGATTCGGAAAGTTCGGTTCTTATTAAAATGCTCATGCCTACTATTATGCACAAAATACCATTTTATAAGTATATAAATAAAGAATCTCGTAGACATTATAAGTTCATGAATTTCATAATATATGTGACTAGAATATAAGTGAAGATTATGAGTCAATAAAAATTAACTCGTTATAATCCAAAAAATAAAAAATAAAATCGTCAAAGTGGAGCATATTCTACTCAAACAACATTATTTTTTATGATTAGGCAAAAGAGAATTGTAATATATAATATTACTTTTTTATTCACATTAATAAAAGTGACTATTCTCATTGTCCTCGTTTTTGACTTGGCTAATCAATTTATGGGCTTGCCTGTCTATTTTAATCACCCCACAAGGCAGTGGCAGAGCTAGCACCTAGCTAGAGGGCACGACCACGCGTGCTAGCTTCGTCAGAGTCGTCGCCGCCAGATGGGAGGAGAGAGCCACAATTACAATAGAAATAGGTTAAAGATTATTAGACTCTTAGTTATAAATTATGAGTGTGGGGATTTTTTGGGTTATTGGGTCTCTTGTTTTTTTTTTTTCTAAAGGCCCAATCAAATGCTCATACTTATATGCGCCCATTGAATATGGAAAAGAAAAAATAGAAAATTGAGTCAACGAAAAAATGTTGGGGTTTGAAGAGAGAAAGGGACGAACCTACGGCCATCTCCATGGTTTGAAGTGCCAAGGTTGGTGAAAAAGTGAAGGATCAACATGCACGGCTAAAATCTCCGGCAATACTTTCCGCCCGCATAGCATGTCATAACCTTTTTAAAATTAAAGTATTTATTATTAATAATAAAACATTTAATTAATTATTTTCTGCTTTTTGCTATATAAAATATTCATTTTACAAGTCAAGAATCATACCTTTATAAAAAAAGGTTAAACCCTAACCTTAAGGGTCCCTCACCATCCCTACCCTAGAGCATCGTGAGGGAGGTAAATCGCAGGTTATACCCCCAAGGGTACAGGGTGGAAGGTTGCTTGTACACTTGCACTTACCCAAAAGCCAAATCCATATTTCAAGATTCGAACCCTTGACGCAGTAGCTTCAAGCAAAACTGAATTTCTCCACCCTCCTCTTTTACCACTTGGAGATGTGCCCTGGGGGTAAGAATCATGCCTTTATATCTTACATTTCTTGTGGCTTCTCCATGAATAAATCTCACCACATTCTCAAGCCTGTTGTGAGTATGCTCTCTGCCTCTCTTTTCTGGCTTTTTTTTTTTTTTTATTATAAAGGTTTTTGTTCTTTTAGAGTTATTTCATTTTTTACTATTTTATGAATTATGTTTATGAGTTATGGATGTGTTTGTGAGCCTATAGTGTTAACTGTGACGATTTTGATTTTTGTGAATTTAAGAATTGGGGATTTTGCGAGTTCGAGAATATTAGGGATTACGTTATTGAATGCTGATGTTTATGATTTATGAAAAAGGGAAATTTATGAATTTGAGAATATTTCGTGTATGTAGACTGTGAATTTGATTTGTGATAAA